GAGGCTTTGCTTGTGCTTCTTCATAAGTAAGCGCTAATGGTGGAGTGAGTTTAGAAGTTGACCAGACTCAAAGAAGGACCTGAAAACGCCAAACGTTGTCGTTTTTTTTGTAAATTATGCGAGCCCTAAACAATGGACGTCTTGTCGAATTTTGTGACAGGTCATTTGGAAGCTTCACCACGGTATTCGGGGCCAGCGGGTCTCACCTCGAGCCATACCAGTGGTTCCGAGTGCGTCTGCATGCTGACAACGCACAGTCCATTCAATTACGTCTAGAGGAGCCACATCGAGACTGCCTTTGAAGGACATCAAAACCTAATTTTCTACTGGAAGAAGACGAAAGAGTCGGTGGCGCTCCGTAAAGAGTTGAAACCAACATCTCCATTTGCAAAAGTACAACAATTTGGGAATTGGTTGAAGAAATGGCAACTGTCGAGGTGATACTACCCATCAACTATTCGGGGAAAGTTCCATACACGGCTGTTTACTGTTTCTGTGGGAAAAAAAATATACAATTCTGCAACCTCATGACACCTCATTCACCTCGCTACTTGTTGGGTAGAATTGAAGGCGATATGAGTGAAGTAGACGAATAAATTCTCACCTTCACAACCCTATACGTATTGTCGTCTCTTGCTTTTTGACTCAACTTTTCTCCCCGCTGTTTCAATGACCAGTCAACACATTCCTCCCTCTCCAGAACTCACTTTGCACACACGACTGAACTGGCGACTCAGTGGAAGTGTCAAAAGGAAAATTCGACTCCGCATTGACAATGGGCTATTTGGGGTCTCTGCCATTGCATTTTCGCTGGACCTTTGCACAATGAAAGCGACTTCAACTCCTTCCACAAATTAAAAAACGCACACTGTCTCCTTCCCTCCGCACTTACACTGAACCTGTTCATCAATGACGACAATCATTCCAGATACTCGTTTTGTTGAGACTGATTTATTGTCCATTTGACTTGTTCAGTTTAATTTGCCTTTCATAACAAACATGAGTGTGTCAAGCTTAACATTTCAACGTCTCCACCTACCTCCATACTGAAACAGCCTCGATCGACGTAGTCGCCCATGAAAAGGTATTGTGTCGCCGATGGATCTCCACCGACTTCAAGGAGCTTCATTAGATCGTAAAACTGACCATGAATGTCACCACAGACTAAAATTAAAAAAGAGAACAAAAAAAAAGTTTACAGTCTCAGATTCAAAGTCATGCACAGATTTGCATTACAAGGGTTGAGAGCTGTTCCCTCAGGACAGTCGTCTTAGGTCTACAATTCACCA